TATGGCCTGAAAGCCTGAAGCACAACTATTTTTCTTTTTTTTTTCCTTTTAGTTTTCCGACATTGCTCCGAGGACGAGTCCTAAAACCGATGCTCCGAGGATGAGTGTAACGAAGATAACAAAACCCCTATACTTTTCCGAGGATTCATCCTCGGAGCCCGAGGATGCCCCGAGGAGTGTCTAACGACGCCCTAAGCTGAGGGATCCGTTTCTTCCTTTTTAGTTTTTTTTTTTTTTTTTTTTAGTTTTTTTTTTTTTTTTTTTTTTTGTGAAGGAGAATCTTTGGCGTGAACTCCCCATGAGTGACAGGGAGCAATCAAGGCCTTGGTGTTTCTTTTTTTTTTTTTTTCCGCGTGCTGCTCTTTCGCGAATGCATCTGACTGCACAAGCGGACAGGTCGGGGATACTGCATGAGTGGAAACACTGCACAATTTTGTTCGGGCTTTTGGCAGCAGGTCCAGCATAAGACACGGCACCTGTGCCAACCGAAAAACATCCCCTACGGGCTCCCATCCCCTTCAGGCTCGGCAAAGCGTGGCGTGCAGCGCATATTTCGGCTCTGCATCAATAGCTGGGCCAAGTACTGGTGGTTTAGGCTCCTGAATCTGGATATGTTTTACGCAGAGATGCAGAAAAGCAGTTCAATCTCGATTTTCTGCACCTCTCCACAAACACGTCCGGACTGAGGCATTCACTCAGATCCTCTTTGCTAGTGGGACGGTCACCACGCCCCCAGAGGTTTTGGTGCTGAGCTGTTCTTTTCCCCCTTATTTCACAAGGAAAACTTGGGTTTTTTCCTTTTTTCTTTTTTTGGGATAAGGATCTGATCCCACACTACGTACGGAAGGAACTCTTTGGCTTGGATCCCTCTCGCTGGCGCCAAGCCTTTGGAAGAGATTGTTTGAGACTCCACTGTGGGCGGCAAAAGCAAGCATTTTTGTTTCCACTCTGCCTACTCCTCGTTTTCAGCACACCAACCAATCCCTGGGCCTCCTTTCCACACGTGATGGTTGGATCTAGAGGGTATGGCTTGAATCCCACAGTGCGTTTTTAAGCAAAAGTCGGAAAAGTACCCTGAAAGTCGTGTCCGCGCCAACCGGTTCGTAAGAACGAATTTGGATCCCATAAAAAGGGAAAACCCAATTTTGCAGAGGCACCTACTTTCAGGGTGAGCGGGTAGGGGTCGGGAGCTTTTGGATATTCGTTCACGAAACCAGGCACGACTCTCTCCCGTGCTGTCACGAAGGAGGCCAAGAGAAGAAACAGCCGAATTATTTTCCCTGTCCGCTCACCGCGGAAACCTGTGGGATTTCTTTTTTTTCACGAAAGTACCCCTACTAAGGATTGTGGGATCCAAGCCTATGTTTGCCAACCTCCAGAGGTTGGCGGTTCGCAAACATTGGCAAACGTACTAGCCATCCTGTGCGGAAAGGAGGCACGGGGACTGGTTGGTCTGCTGAAAAAGCAGAGTTAAACTTGCCCGAAAAGGCAAGTCTTTCTGATCCAGTAACGGAAACCTCAGGCAGTGCCGAAAATTGCTGTGGCGATGGAGTCCCTTTTCGGTTGCCCATTCCCGCCGGCTACGATTTTGGGCTGGCGGATGTTTTCCTGGTATCAATAACCACCAAGCAGTGGGGTCCTACCCTTAGGCATTTTGGGGGATCCCACCTCTTTCCGACAGAGTCGGGCGTGGCGCTGCGAAAGGGAGATAGTGAAAACATTTGTAAACGTGGCACTTCACGCGGGAACATTGGCACAAGAGAGGGAAGAAAGTGGTGAGAGAGGACCCCTATCCTGCAGCCAAAAAGAAGGGCTGATTTTTGTGTTTTCTTCCTTTTTGGGTGCCACTACTGTCACAATTTCAGTTTAAAATCCAGTTCAGGCATCCCTTGAATATAACACATCCCCACCCCAACAGCTTTGTGGCAACGCTCTGGAAGACCATTTGTGAGACCCCACATTCATCCGCACTGAGCGGCCAAAACTCTAGGAAATTACGTGGCAGATGTTTCACTCAGCTGTGGACGTTTTCACTCAGTTGCAGACGTTTTCACTCGGTTGGAGACGTTTTCACACAGTTGCGTTTGCCCAGTTCCTCGTGGTACGGCCATCCTAAGGGAGAAGGGAGGGGGGAGGGGCATCTCCCTTGTTTCGGCCATCCCATGTGGAAAGGAGAGCCTACGATTTAGGTTTGGGGGAAGCTTTCCAGGCGCAAAGCTACTGCCAGGCAGTGGGGTGCACCTCTGAAGCCGTCTTCCCCCTAACACAACGCACCCTTATTTTGGCTGTATCTGGCCGGAAATATAGCTTCTATACATTCATTTTTACGGTGGGTTATGTTCGGGGGAAGATGGTAGGTTGTATACATTCACGATTTTCCTTGCTTTGGCACAACATTTGTGAAATCGTGGCTGAAGGGCATTTTCAAACTGAAACCGTGATAGCGCCCTAGTTGTTCCTTTACTTCTTTGTTTTGGTGTCCCACCAGCCAATCACAAGTCCTGGGGCCAGGACCCACTAGCGCTGTATTATATCGTGGGACAGTGGCGTGTGACACCCTTTTGGCATTTGAAAAATGGTTTCTGTAATTTTTTAGATTCAAAAAACTCGCTTTCTACGAGTTAAAGAAAATAATATTCACCGGAGGGTGCTCCCGTCAGCCAATGGGGTGTGAGCCATGTGCTGCACTCAGCCAGTGGGCGGGGTCCTCTGAAGGTAGTTGCTGTCAGGTCATTATGATATTTCTTTTTTATTCTTTCTATGTTCTTCTCTCAACTTCTGTTGCTTTACCTTCCACTACCTACTCCTAAGGCTATCTAGAGGGGACCGCTGCAAGCATAGTTTCCTCTCACTGTGAAGGGGAGATTTCATGTTTATGGTATAGGGTTGGGCCCGCCAGTGGGGGTCTGGCTAGCACAAAGACCGAGACCTGCCAGTAGCTGCGCCTCCCTTTCTCATCGTCCCCCACCCTTCATCGAGTAGCAGCAGAGGCTATGGCCAACACTCTCCCACACACCACACACAACCCACTCGCGCTCACACTCACACCCGTGTTGGTCGTAGACCCTTTTACATCGTCCCCCACCCCTCATTATGATATTTGGCAGTACACATGACTTTGTTTTTTTTTTGGTGGGCCTTTTTGTGCACGCGAAGCACTGTAGCAAGGTCTCAATATTGCCCCCCCCCCAAAAAAAAAAGTCTGGAAAACACGAGGCTGCTACAGTGTATTTGAAATAAAAGAAAAAGGAACAAATGATGAAAGTAGTGATTTTTGAAATACCCTCCCCTTGACCTTGGCCGATGAGGCCTTGTTCATAGGAGAGGCCCTCATCTTTTTGTAAGGGATGCCGGGCCCTATTCCGGGCTTGTAATATAACTTCTTTCTCCGAAAAAAAAACCAAAAACTTTTTCTCTTTTTCTGAATCTGTTCAAAACTCAGAATGCCGCACGATTTCCCCTCCATCGATGGCGTGTAGCACTCCGACTCTGTCACACGTGATTGAAAGCCGTACTTACAAGGTATAATACCGCGCTAGTGGGTGCTGCCCCCTCTGGAGGTGAAAGCTTCCACAGGGGGTGCCAACAGAAACCTGCCCCCCGGTTCGTGATTGAAAACCAACTCTGCACCCTGACAAAAAGACCGAGCCGGGGCCAAGTCCCACCAGCAGCGTTGAGCTACCTCAGCGCCTGAATCTGGACTTTTTTAGGGAGATATGCAGAAATGATGTTGAGTTTCCTGAACTGCACGTCTCCACAAACACGTCCAGATTCGGGCGTTGAGGCAGCTCAACGCTGCTGGTGGGACTTGGCCCCCGGCCCGCACGGAACGAAATCCAGCCCACAATTTTACTTTTCGTTCCGAGCGGGCGGGTTTCTGTTGTGTCACACGAAAGCCATGCACCCTTCGTCTTTCTTTTTTCTTTTTTTTTTTTTCCTCTTTCTTTTCGGGAGAGAGCCAGTACTATTCGGGGCTATAGGAGCATCGCCGCACCTACATATCTTGACACAACTTGACAGCTGGCTATGTGTTTTCGAACGAACGAAAGTGCGGCTCGCTATTGTGTCGAGGTCGAGAGTGCTAGCGATCCAAGTCGAGCTTTCGATCCAGCGATGTGCGGCTGGCTATGGCGGAACAGCTAGCAGCACGCGAAAGAGAGGAGGGAGGGAAGAGTTGATGTACGCAGGGGCCAAGTTTCAAGTTTCAGCATCGACGATCCCTTGCTCTAGAAAGAATACCACCTTGACAGCCTCTCTCTCTCTCTCTCTCTCTCTCTCTCTCTCTCTCTCTCTCTCTCTCTCTCTCTCTCTCTGTGCCCGCTGTACATTGGCCACTTTTCAGTTCTTGTGTGCGCGTGCGCGAGCGCTTTTTTGTCCTTCGCGGGTCTCTTTCGCACCTCAAGATTGTCTCATTCGTCCATTGACTTGGTTCTCTGCCGAAAACT